TCATGCACATGCTCAGTGACACAAGTGTGTGGTTTTATTTTACTTTTAAGCTGCCTTTTTTCCCCCTCCACTTTTTTTTTGGAATTTTTGTATGTTAAGGGGTTGGAATGGAGCTTAGAGATGATCCAGCCCCAACCCCTGCCCTGGGCAGGGACACCTCCCAGCAGAGCAGGTTGCTCAAGGCTCATCCAACCTGGCTGTGAACACTGCCAGGGTTGGGGCAGCCACAGCCTCCCTGGGCAACCTGGGACAGGGTCTCACCACCAGAACAGGGAAAACTTCTGCCTAATATCTAACCTAAATTTCCCTCTTTCAATTTCTCCCCATTACTCCTTGTCTTGTCATTCCAGCTCCTAATCAAGAGTCCCTCTGCAGCTTCCCTGGAGCCCCTTCAGCTCCTGGAAGGTGTTCTGAGGTCTCCAGACAACCTTCTCTTCTCCAGGCAATTTTAAGGACCAAACACCTCACTTTTCTTCTTATTAGCCCTGACCCCTTTACCCCAAAACTCTGCAAGCATTATCCTTCAGTTATTCTCCAGCATATTTATCTTGTTCACTCCTGTATTAGTATAACTACTTCCAACCTTAATTATTTCCCGTGATTCAAAAAAAGTCAATCCTCATTAAAAAGCCCCAAATCACCACAAATCTGAGCACATACACACGTTTTGTGCAGAGCAGTTGAGACACACATCTGCTTCCTGAGCTCAGAATTACAGAAATGTAACAGAACACTAAATACCTAAATCCAAAAAAAAGAGATATCATGGAAAGCAAACCTCAAATATAGATGTTCCTGTGAATCTGCTCAAAGCTGCAAACTCAAGGATCAAGGTACCAGCACAAGCTGTACAGGTATCAGTCTCCGTCCCTGTTCGTGCCTCTGGGTGTCTCACACCAAATTTTAAGTTAACCTAGGGAAAAGCAGAGATTATCTTCATGATTTGACCAGGTGAAAGAATTTACACTCCTATGCTTTTGCTGAAGACAAGAAAAGATCACATAACCCTTCAGTTTTATTCTGCTTTACCACCGCAGCCCTTCAGTTTTATTCTGCTTTACCACCAAACAGCTCAAACATGCAGAGAAAATTAGCCAGAAGGACCCAAAACACTCAACCCTCCCAAACAAAGACCTGTTGCCTGGTTCACTAGACATCTGAGTAAGAGAATACTACACTGAAAATCTTCTAGCAATTCATTTCCCAGCAACCAGGGCCTCAGAACACCCTGAGGAGACTGAGCTCTGTAAATCTCTCTCCTGGCTCCAGAGAACACCTGTGATTTCTCAGCTTTGGATTTTTCTCTCCACTTCACAAATACAAAAGTGATTTTGGAAACACAGGTAAAAGCAGATATCTTGGTTACAAAAGCAGCCCTGAGTCAGAGAAACAGATAACTTACTCTTGGATAAGGGAGACCACTAGTGGTGTTAAAGGCAGGCAGAAGCTTGTAGCCCAGTTCCTTGGCCATGTGCAGGAGCTCACCGTTGTACCACTGCATGTGTTCACCCTTCTCCTTCAGCATAATTGCCACTGAATGCCCACCCAGGAGGCCTCTGAACACAGGGAAAACAATCCACAGCTCAAGAGGAGCACAACAGCAAGGCAAACCTTCTACAGCCTGAATGCCATGAGCACAACTGTGCTGTGCTCACACCCAGTCTGCACAAACACTGAGCTGATGCAACTCCCAGCTACAATCCAGGTTAGCTGACAGCATTTTGAAAGCAATTCCTAATGTTTATGAAGCCCAAAGTGCAGAGGAATCACTGGTTCATCAGTATTTGCCAGGAATAACAACCAAAACCTCTAAATCTGCATATAACTTGTAATTCCACGCTCTGATCCTGCATTGAGCACCAGAGAACCAACCTGAAATAAACTATTACTCCATGTACTGGGGTCTGTTAAATCAAGTGCTGGACAGAGTCACTAGTGAGGCTGTTTGCATTAAGAACAACACTGCTGCCTCAGCATGCTGCACTTCTTTCATCAGCAAAGCTGTGCCTGCAGTAGCTGGAGGGGACCAGCCTGGTTCAGCACCACTGCAGCCAGTCCTGCCCAGCATCCCAAAACCTCCCTGGGGCTACCTGACAGAGGCACAGCTGATTCCAGTCAGAAAGGTACAGCCTTAAGGACATTCACCTCAAACCCACCTTCTGAAGAGCTTTGAAAGCAAAATCTACTCACCCAAGGACTCTTATGTTGGTTTCAAAGACAGATACAACTATGTCATTATCTAAGTTAACATCCTTTATTACTTTTCTTACAGCCTCCTCAAACTCTTTGGTTTTATTTAACACCTGGAACACAAATGGAAGCAGCTGGTTAGGTTCCAACACAGCTACAGTCACAGTACACTCAGACACACTACACTTAAGTGCACACAAATCCATCTCTGAGATGTGTAGGTACAATTTAAACTCCTAAATAATTCAGTGAGTGCTGTTAAGGTGTCCACAAATAAGTCAGATGCTGCTTTAGACTATAAAATGAGAAACAAACTTGCATATTTTTTTAAGCTAGAGCCCAAGAAATGCAAGATAAGAGAATGTCACTGCAAAGTGAAGGAACTGTTGTGGTTTTCTTTTTACAACCAACTCCAAACACAACCATTGCAGCACCTGAAAGTCCTTACAAGCAAGAGCCACTTGACAGGGCCAAAGACATCCACAAGTCTGAGCACCAGAACACAATGTTTGTGTTACCAAAGTTTATCAATAGCTTAAACTTACCACCAGCGTGTCCAAGGTATCGATCAAGGTCAGTGAAAACCTAGGAAACAACATTTTAAACAGATTTACTATAGATCTGCACATGCAGGAATGAAGTGTTTTTACTAGTAACTGATACTGTGGAAGAAACTAAACTCTCACAGAGCATTATCTGTAAAGAATTAATTGTACACAGTATGTTTAATATCAAATCACCCTTCTAAGTGTCTTCCCTTTGGCTGGAAGCAGCTGTGCTGATAGACACCTTTATATACTGCAAAGCACTTGTAAGCAAATTTAACTTCTCTTTCCAGTCTCCAATACAACCTACTGAGAAACACAGCAAAATGCTTCAAAGTCTTTCCCCAACCTCAGCTTTATTTTGTTTTGCAAAAAAAAATAATAAAATATGTTGAGATCAAAAGTCATCCCAAGCTAAATTTCTCCTGCCAGGAACTCTTCCAACACTAGCAAGTGGCAGGCTGAAAATAAAGAGCTACTTTATTTACTCTAAAATAAAGAACTACTTTAGCAGTGTCCCAGGCCAGGCTGGATGGGGCTGGAGCAGCCTGGGCTGGTGGGAGCTGTCCCTGCCCTGGGCAGGGGGTGGGACTGGGTGATCTTTAAGGTCCCTTCCAACCAAACCAGTCTGGGATTCCATGAGAGAACACCAAGTCAATCCACAGTGTTTGAAACAGGAGCAGCAGCAAGGCTTGGCCTGTTCCTGTATTCCTCTCCAGGCCTGTTCTAATGCACTCCAGGCTGAGTGGAGCTTTCTCCTAACCCAATAACTGCTCTGATGGCAGGAAACACACAGCACACACAGAACAGAATCCACAGAACACGATGGCAACTTTGAAAACAGTCACAACTGCTTATTGAAGGGTGAGAATTGAAGCAAGTGCCCAATGTTTGAGACCCTGTAGGCCACATAGGACTACTAAAATCCTAATTAAGTGGTCCTAGATCACAGTTTCCTTTAATTTGTAAAACTCTAAGGGCATTCTCTGAGTGCTGCTCTACAGGAGACAGAGGTTAACTGGTGGCTGTGCACAACTGCCTAACAAACACACAACTTTTCCCAGCTAAAAGGAGGGATATTATGGATTGCACAAAGGCTGGTGTGCCAAGTGTCCTCCTGAGCATTCCAGGGACACAGAAGTGACACAGCTGCCTCACCCTGGGATTGCAGAGGCTTGGAGAGAACACAACTGATCAGATAAGAAATCTGAAAAATAAGAATATAACTAACTATAAGGTACAGAAAATACCATGTATCCAGCAAAATAATCCATAAACACATTATTCAATCCATCTAAGGGGCTGAAAGGTATTTTTATTCACGTGAGAGGATGATGGGCCGTTGCTATGCCAAAAAAGGTTATCAAAAAGAATGCATGACCAGGATTAAAAATACATATTCTTGGCAATTCTTGTATCTCTCCATACCTCCAAGGCAGGAGGCTTAATGGGGATCTCTAGGATTACAGGCAAATGGGGATCTCCAGACTAAGGAACTTTTGTGCATGACAAAAAGTAGCCAAAAGAACATGCACAGTATCACACAGATAATCAGAAGGGGTATTTAAGACAAAGACTTCAGCTTTGATTGCCACTATTGTGCTCAGAGACATTAAGCAGTGACAGCAATAAAAAGACCCATCAGCTAGTTGTTATTAAAGTATTTGCTCTACAAACTGTGCAAATACAGAACAGGAATCAATTACAAACACAGTTAGAGAAAGTCAACTTTGATTGCTCCATTTAACATGGAGAAAACCAGTCCTTAAATCTACATTTTGCTGGCCAGAGGATCAGTGCTTTCTGTTAGAAGAAAGAAGAGAAAGTATTTGCCTGTCTGAAATACTGTTTGATACTTTGGCAAAGGCCTCAGGCTACTATACACATGATAATCATTTGACTATTTGTTTTCAGAGCACTTTGTGCTTTTAAAAAAGCATTTTAAATATCACTTATTAGGCCACATCATGGGTAAGAGCTCACTGTACTGTGCAGCTGATAATTAGCCCCTATAACCTCTGTTACTACTATCCTAAATGTCAGCTCACATTTGGAAGACTTTCCTATGAGAAATACTTGGAGAATGACTAAAACCAAATTATCTTTGGATCTTATTCACTGGTCAATTCTCTTTTTGTGCTTAAGGTGCTAACTGACATCAGTTAACTCCATGGGAGGAAATAACAGAAGGATTTCTTACAGATACAGGTTTCTGCACATGTCAACCCAATAAACAACTCTCATGGGCTGCACAGTGCACTCATATTCCCAGAGGCTGACACAAACCAGTGACCATTTCAAGCACTAACTTTCCCAAGGCATCGTCCACGTCCCCTCGACTTGGCTCCTGACCCCGCACTCGTCCTCGACACGTCAAAGGCATCAGCTCATCCGCTGGGTACGCGTGTTCCTGCAGGGAATGACACAAGGGATTGCTCACAGATCAGCCAGGCTGGAAGGGACCACAGTGGGTCACTGCTCCCACCTCCTGCCCCAGCAGGGCCAGCCCAGAGCTCATGGCTCAGGTTGTGTCCAGATGGTTCTGGAATATCTCCAGTGAGGGAGAATCCACAGCCTCTCTGGGTAATCTGTTCAGTGCTCAGTGACTGCACAGGAAAGTTCTTCCTTGTGTTCAGGTGGAACTTCCTGTGCATCTGTTTCTGCCCATTACCTCTTGTTTTGTTGGTTTGTACCACTGAGCAGAGTCTGATCATCCTCTTGGCACCTTCCCTTCAGATACTTGTACATATTGATAAGGTCCTTCTCAGTCACCTCTTCTCTAGGCTGAGCAGCCCCAGTTCCCTCAGTCTGTGCTCCCAAGTGAGGTGCTCCAGTCCCTTCAGCATCTTCCTTGCCCTTCCCTGGACCTGCTCCAGGAGCTCCATGTCCCCCTGGTCCTGAAGAGCCCAGAACTGGACACAACACTCCAGGGCTGAGCAGAGGGTCAGGATCACCTCCCTGAGCTGCTGGCAATGCTCTCCCTAATACCCCCCAGGATTCCATGGATCTTCTTGGCCCCCAGGACACACTGCTGGCTCAGGGACACCTTGTTACCCACCAGGCCCCCCAGGTCCTTCCCACAGAGCTGCTCTCCAGCAGGTCAGTGCCCAACCTGTCCTGGTGCTCGGGGTTATCCTCCCCAGGGGCAGGACCTGCACTTGTCCCTGTCGAATTTCAGGTGGTTCCACTCTGCCCATCTCCAGGCTGTTGAGGTCTCTCTGAAGGGCAGCACAGCCCTCTGAGGTATTGGCAACTGCAGTGGCTCCAGCCATCCCAGCAGCTCTCCAGAGACTGATAAAGGGAAGCCTAAGGACAGTGTAGTTCAGAAAAACTGCATAGCAACCGCAGAGCCTTTCAAGTGGGAAGGGACCTCTGGAGCTCCCTTGTCCAACCCCTCTACTCCAGCAGGGCCACCCAGGCTCAGTTGCCCAGAACTGTGTCCACACAGCTTTGAGTACCCCCAGGGAGACTCCAGAACCAATGTGGGCACCCTGTGCCAATACTTGGTCACCTTCACAGTAACAAACTGTTTCCTGATGTTCAGAGGAACCTCTTGTGTTTCTGTTGCCTCTGGTCCTGCCATTGAGCACCACTGAGAACAGCCTGACACTGTCTTCTTGATGGCCTCCATTCCTAAATTAGTAAGATTCCCTGGAGCATTCCCTTCTCCAGGCTGCACAGCCCCAGCTCTCTCAGGCTTTCCTGATGGGAAAGATGTTCCAGCCTCTTCATCATCCTTATGGCCCTTCCCTGGACTCTGTTCACTATGCCCATGTCTGTCTCACCCTGGGCAGCTCAGGTGTGGCCTCACCTGTGTGAGTGGAGGGACAGGACAAGCTGGTGCACACCAGGACCCCCAGGGCCATCTCTGCTGGGTGGCTAGAAATGATTACACTGGGAACAGAGCAACAGGACCTTTTTCCCTCCTCGAGAAGTCTGGAACAACTAATGACACATCCAAAAAAATAAACCTCCCAAATTAACTTGAAGAGTTAATTGTCTCCTTTCTGCAATTAGGCACGTATGACATCCACTATGTGTCTGAAGCAGAAGTTGCTCCCTCAAAGATGAGTTTAAAAGCTTAAAGACATTATTGAGGTATTTCATGGAGAGTTCAGTGGGAATTAGACTTAGAAGTCACTTTGGAAACACAAATACAAGGGATCTGGGATGGAGCTGCTCTCTTGACCTCATCAGGGAAGTGGCTGCTGTGCTGAGCTCTGCAGTTTGACTTTTAGTGGAGAACTCACTTGTGGCAGGGTGAAAAACTTCAATTACTGCACTGGAACTGCAAGTAAACACAGAGTCTTGCCAAAGAGATGGTACAAAAATAATCTATATTCAAACATGAAATACAGAGGAAAAAAAGGAACATCCCTCTATAAATAAACAGCTCTTACAGCAACTCCTTTTGAAACTGATGGTTTGTTTCCCTGTATCCCACCCTCCTGGATGTTTTGCTCTTTGCACCACTCTTTGTTCTCCTCAAGTTCAACTACAAAAGCCAAAATCTAGATCATTTTAATAGGGCTCAGATGTTCCTGAGTATCTCTGCAAAGCATTCAGACAAACAGATTAAAGAAACACATGAGAAAAAGCAATGTCAAAACTGAGATCTCTGGTTTAAGTTACGGAGAGAAGAGGTGATAAAAATCCTGGAGAAAGTGGACTTGTAGTTTTACAAAATTATAGGTTCTAGAAGCATTTTGAAAAATAAAAGTTCCCTTATTCGCTGCTAGAGCAGGAAAGGGAAGTGACTGACATTTTCACAGGTTCTTTCTGACAGCCAAGAAGAAAAATATCCCAATTATTACAAATACTGTTGAAGGACTGAAAAAAACCAGCAACTTTTTACTCAAAGCTTCTGTTAACAACTAGAAAAAAAAAAAGACATGGGAGTTTTTCTTGCAAACAAACATGAATTTTCAGCCTTCTAAATATACATGTCTAAACCCCATATTAATAGAAACAGAAAATCCAAACTTTGCAGTTGGTAGTTTCTACAGCACCTGCAAAAACACTTCATTTTCTTGCTGTCAGAATCAAGTCTGACACCCTAATCTTTTCCTTCAGCTTTAAACAAGCCACACTGCTCTGTTTGCTTTGTGCTCCAGCATACGTGGCAAGTAAATATCCTTTTGACTCTGAAGTTTCCAGGATGGCTGAAGTAATTCTTCTCTTTCAACCTGAATTTTCTTGCTTCAGATGTGGCAAGACATATCACCCAAGGAACAGCAGGACCACAGATCCTTGTACTGGTTTATCCCATTTCACCACAAACATAACAGTTTTCCTGTGGGGAAGCCCAAGCCAAGTGTTTTTCATGGAACCACGTCCCAGGTAACTAGTTATAAAAATGATCACCAAAAAATTTGATGTTTGTTCAGCTGCCAAAGGTGTCCAAAGTATAGAACTAAGGTTAAAGAGAGCAACTAGACCCCCCTGGAGAACACTCTTGCTTGGGTTTCTGTCCACTCTAGAGTCCTGTATCCTTCCTGTGCTGTATAAAGCTGGAACTCACAAGCTCTTAAGGTTGTGTCACATCTGAAAGGGTTAAACCAGAGCACAGCAACTGGACACGTGGCAAGATGTTGTCAGGAGACAGTGGTTTATGCTGCAGGAACTGCTGCAACTCCTGAGAGGGGTTTCTGCAACAGCCACAGAGTGTGCAAGAATAACACAGGAAGAGTTTTGCATTTATCCTCTTCTCATCTACAGTTTCCCCTCAGAAATTTATTACTTAGAGCATATTTGAAAGTATTACTAGAGACAAGTCAGTCCACTCTAAGGAATTCTATATTCTCAAGCATCTCTAACCCAAGGTAATGTGTTTGGAGGTGGGCTGGAGTGCAGAAAGGCTCTCAGCCCCAGAGCATGAGGACACCTGCACGGAAAATCACAAGTCATAGCAAAAGAATCCACACCGAGCGTGGCTCAGGGTGACAGGTCAGTCACACCCTCAGCAGAGGCTCCACTGCCTGGCTAGGACACCAGATCCCCTCTCTGAACCACTGTCACCTGTATAGAAGCTGTGTCTGACACGTGTGACCACAGGAGAAACACTGCATGTCATTTCTACCTACAAAACAAGTAAGATCAGTTTGTGTTCTCCAGAATGATGACTACAGACAGTTCTTCTTGAGCTTCCTCTCCCTAGTATTTTTAGGAGTCTGGAACTTCAAACCAAATACTTTAGTAAAGATGAAAACTCTGCACAGCTTGACACGAGATAAACTGGTTTGAGAAAGATCAGACACAGGTGAGGAGAGTTACCACAAGCCTTTCCTGGCCACCACAGCCCTCCTGACTGCTCTTCCCGAAACTAACATTTGTTCCACTTCTATTTCAAGGCTGTGCAGGTGCTGTTATTTATTTTAGCTTTGTTTTCACCCCTCCCTCCCGGATGTTTCCCTGAAATGTCCTGCAAGTTGCTTTGTCTCCCAGGTCAGCAACAACAACTCTGAAAACTAAGAAACAAGTATTTTCCTTACCATGTAATTGCTGTATGCATGATCAAACATTTCAAGCACTTGATTTCTGAAAGAGAAAAGAGGAAAAGCATTAGTGGTCTGTGTCCCAGTGGCCCTTAACACACCACCAGATGTATCACACTGAGTACCACTTGCAGGTCCTCTACTAACACACTCAAGTAAATGAGATAAAGCACAATAATTTTTCCTAATTTGACTACTTTTGCCCCCTGCAGAAAGACTCTTGCACCACCTCCTATGAAACTAAGGACTTGGGGAGGTCTTACAACCCCCTGTGCTGCAGATGTCAACAACACATCCAAGACAGAGATGGGACACACTCAAAGTTCAGCAAAAAACCAGCAAACAGAATCATGTTCTTGCAGTCACCAACACCAAACCCAACAGAGACAGCACAAATTCCTGTCCATGCTCCATGAAAGAACCCTAAGTTATGAGCTGCACCACGTGTGTTAGGAGTCTTGGCAAGAAAGCACCAAAGCAAACCCTTTAGCTACCTTTATTTCACAGGTCTGAAAAGCTGTCAAGGAGAAAAAAGCTACTACATATTAAAGAAAATCCCCAAAACCCACTGGTTATTTTTGAGACAGCACTACCTCCAACCATTCCTAACTGTCTTCCCGTGGAGCCCTGGGAGGCAAAAGAGGTAATGCTCATTTCCAAGCTGCCATCAACATAATTCACCACCTCTGCTGATAAGAGCAAACATAAAAGATCCAGGAGCACCACAATTATGTTCTAAATATCCAATTTAGTTCAACGACTTGGAAATCTAAGTAGTAGTTTTAACTCCTCAGGTGCATTAAGTCATCAGAAGAGCAGAGGATGGTGCTGTCTCCAGGTACTTCACAGGCTGCAGCTCTGGGCCCTGCTGGGTTTGGCTCACAGGTGTCACATCCAGAGCACACAAAGGTGTCTGGGGATGGAGCAGACAGAAAGCAGCTTAAAACTTACGTTTACAGAGCATTCTCTGTGACTGACACTAAACAAAAACACAGGCTACCTGATGCTGCCCAGGACTGACCCAGGTCAGGGCCCCAAACACATGGCCTGCATGTGCCCTGAGGCACATTGGGTGACACAGTGAGTGCAAGATATTAACACAAAAATCATAAACCCAACTGGGGAATGAAGTTTAAACTCCCTGTGCAGCCACATGAAGAACACATATTAACACAACACACACAGAGCACCTTTAGAACCCACCATGGGAAGCCCTGTAAACAGCAGTTTAACATCAGCTTAGACATGATGGTTGGGCTTGACAACCTTGGAGGCCTTTCCCAACCTTGATTAATAACCATGAGAACATCCACAGTATTTTTCCAGCAGACATTCTGCATCATTATTCTGTGCAAGTGACCAGCAGCTGGAAAGAGGATGATGAAACTGCCCCAGTAATGTACTGAGATCAAGACATGTTTGGCTATACAATTGTTCAAAGAAATTCCACTCCAGGTAGGGCAATACATTCCCACCTATGCTGTCAGCTTCAACTGAAAACCACACCAAGAAGAACCAGCTTTTTACATCTCCATGCTCAGGGGACCACAGCATTTTCCCTTCCACACAGGCACTAGGCAGGAACACATGTAAACATTTACCTTTTTTATGACTCCCTTGCTCTCACAGAGGCACAATTAAACCAACCAACTGCGGATTTAGAGCTACCTTTGATCACCTTTACCCCTAACTACTGGCTGAAATCTTCAAGATGAGCTCCCAAGCGTGTGGCAGAAGGGTCTGATCCCACACCAATAGGTGCCCTGAACTGGGGGACCACAAGTTGGGTCTGACCCAAGACAGATGGGGGTGCCTTGAACTGGGGAGTACAGGAACAAGAAGAGCCTGAGCCCACACTGATGGGTGCCCTGAACTGGGTAACCACAAGGACAAGAAGTGTCTGACCCAATACCAATGAGTGCCCCAAACCTGGGGGACTACAGCCACAAGGAGGGTCTGACCCCCACTCACAGGTGCCCCAAACTGGGTGACAAGACCATACCCTGCTGTGTCCCACCCCTCCAGCACTGACAGGGGACACGGTCCTGCGTCGGGGCGAGTTTGGGGGGTTTGGGGATTGAGCAGAGACACATCCCGGGACCTCCACACCTGCACCAAGCCTAGCCTAGATCCGTGGGGACAGCACAGCTAAATGACAGGCCGGGACCACCACAGGACCAGGGCCAGGGCCACTGCAGGGCCAGGGCCAGGACCACGACCACCACAGGACCAGGGCCAGGGCCAGGACCATTCCAGGACCACGACCACTGCAGGACCAGGACCACCACAGGACCAAGACCACACCAGGGCCAGAACCAGGACCAGAACGACCACTGGGCCAGAGCCAGGACCACGACCACCACAGGGCCAGGACCAGGATCAGGTCCACTTAAGGACCAGGACCAGGACAGGATCACTGCAGG